TTTTCTGATGTGATTTGAAATTTGAAAAGGGAGAAAAAATGTTTGCCAAAAGGCAGATTCGAACCTGGGTCGATCGCATCAAAAGGAGTATGACACAAGCTTTACCATCTATGCCACTGAATCTGATGACTGATGACCGTCTTTTGTAATGTTGACTAGCCCAATCACACGTTGGTGGGTGGAGTTAGTGTAAATGGCCTCTGCCAACAAGGCGGGCCATTTGCACTTAGTGTAAATAGACACTCCGATTTTTTTATTTTTATTCCCAACAGTTAAACAGTTGCCCATAGAAAAAAACAGGGGGTGCTGCAGCACCCTCAGCACCTCCACTTCTCGCGCCTATGCTTGGAGGTCTCCCAACCTACTTGTGGCGTAAGTCCCTCCCACTTGGAGATCTCCCAACCTACTTGCTGAGTAAGTCCCTCCCACTTGGAGGTCTCCCAACCTACTTGCAGCGTAAGTCCCTCCCACTTGGAGGTCTCCGGGCTGCAGCTATACATACTTGGGTTGAAGCAAACCACACCTCCCACCAAAACTCGATTATGACTGAGGAGGACCTCCCACCCCGAACACGATTTTTATAGCCAATTTCCCCCACTGATTGGGCTAGTTTTGAGTAGCAATTGGGCTGGTTTTGTTATGCAGACATGGCAACCCTGTGTATGTCACCAGAAAGTCTGCTGTTTTTACAAGAAGATCCACTTATGACATTTTTATTTAAAAATTGAGGTTAAAAAAACAAGACAAATGCACAGATTAACTGTTTACAATAAGACCTATAAAATGCATTTAAACAATATTTGAATTTTCATTTCATGCCGACTTTAAAATGAATACTGTCATCTGTTATACTGTCATTTATTATAGCAAGCGTTCGTACTAAACGTTTTGATTCGCCAAACTTGTTGACAAGAAGAGCAGTAGACGGATTCATACGCGAGACACAAAAGCAGCGCCGGTACGTTGCCATGGGCAACGATGAAATAACATGTTTGGCAGTGATAATAAATAAATATATAAATAAATAAACAAACAAACAAATATTTGACCGCTCAATCCCGCGCTTGACCAATCAGAATCGAGTGGTCCAATAATACCCAGTTTATCACAGATAAGACCGTGGTCCAGTAAGGAGCACACCGACCTCACTCATATCACAGTGTACTTCTTTGTGCGCAGATAGAGAGAGGGGCAACCTTGCGGCCTACAACTGCAGTTCAACCTCCCTCCCAGGTGAAGTGACGGGGATGGGTGTACACTGCGGTCTCTGCGTAATGAATCCAGGGAAAAATACATAGTAACCTCCATTAGGGGTCTGACAGAGCAGACTGAGCATAGTAAGTGCGTACTAGCATACTTAATGAGATGCTATTCAACAGAGAGGACTCTTGAAGAGGCTCATTCAAGACTGTATACAGATGTAGCGAATATTCTCAGATCCAATAAGACGCTGAATTCAGCCTCGTCCACGATCAAGTTAATACGGGATTCATTAAAACGCGTTCAGCGATAATTGATTGCGCCATTGCGCGTCTCTTACCTTCCCTCGCCTTCAGCAGCACGGTGTTGGCCACGATATTCTCAATCTCCATTGTCAGAAAAAGAATCCCATGCAGTCCCGATACATTTCACTTAGTAGAAAAAAGACGAGGACGGTCGCGCTGTTGGTGGCGGTGAGGATGAGGATGATGATCGGTGGTGAGGATGGTTGTGATCGGCGTGAATTTGGCGTTGGCACATTGCAGGTTAATTGTATTTCTCCATATCTCGCTGTTGAACCCCCCCACCTTTCCGCTCGCCGTGGACATGTACTACTCTCTCTCCCCCTTGTTAGCATTCAGTGCTCAGCAGTCCTTCCTGTCTCGAGCACTCGCTTACACCGTCAGCTCTGGAGGAGGAGGGATCATCTTTTTTTTTTTTTTTTTCTTATTCACATCTGTGGTTCTTAAACAAAGGGGACAAAGTCCACCAGGGGCCCTCAGCAAATGATGTACAACATATAAACTTGACATTTCATTTTAATTTGTCCAGAACAACAGCTTTTTTTTTTTTATTGAAGAACATACAGTTCTGGAAACTGGAATTATAAAATGAATGATGGTTAAATATTTTAATTAACACACCTAGTAAAAAGTTTGCAAACAGCGTTGTCATCAGAAGTGCTGAAGCAATAATTTATGTGCCTAAATGTTTTAAAATGAAGTTTACTTATTAAGAAATTGTAGTCTTTTTCAAATAAGGTTTCATTGAAAAAAATCATTACTGTGAACACTTCAATGAATTTCAAGGAATACATATTTTACATGTGTTTTACAATTTGCTCAATAGAATCAGCACTGTCTGCAACAATGGGAAAAATGTGATTTTTATTTAAATATTTGTAGTGAAATTGAATTTAACTGGATTTTTACTGAATATTAAAAATTATCAAACAGCATTGAATAATTCTGTGTAACAGTGTAACCGATATTAATGTATAGAAATTCACTTACAAAATATTTTAAAATGTGCACTGTCCATTGATTTGTATAAGATAGAATTATTTACTTATCATTTATCTTGTTCATGCAGGGTGCTTATAAAGTGTTGCTATGGTAGTTTGTACTTTACGCAAATAAGGTTTTATAATTTTGCAGTCCAGAGCGTGATAATACAAACACATGCACCTCAGAACAGAAGATCATCTTTTCCTTGCAAAATTACCCTACATAGATGTTTTTTAACAAGAAATCCATCTGATTTTGCGTCTAAAGTTTTTTCAGAAATGATACTGCTACAACTGAGAATTAGACATTGAAATTTCTCATTACACAATTTAAAAGCATAAATAAAAAATAAAGTTGCACAATGTATTTTAGATGATTTCACTATATGTCACAATGTATTTACACATGCATATTGTACTTTTTCATATTTCATAATAATTCTCTAGATAATAATAGACATAAATCTTATTATAATTATAAATATTCGCGATTTTATCAGTTATGTAATTATCAAGCCCACATGTTGAAGCTCTTTCTTTCTAATTTAGCTCCAATTATGGAACCTTTATTTTGAAAAACCGTGTTATGACATAATTCATTTAGCCGGAAGTGACTCTCGAATCTTTATTTGCAGAGGACCGCTCGTCCCGTTATTCTCTGGAATTATTATAATTTTTTTTATCAATAATTATTTTGTTTTTTTCTAAGAAGCAAGAAATATATACAAAGCCGAGTGTGGCATTGCCGGCCAGTCTGTAGAAATGTCATAAATATGGTGTAAAAGGAAGAAGCGAGTTCTCTAGTTGGTAGGCGATTTTTTTCTCCATCATTAATAATAACCGGGAGGAATTTCTCTGTTTTATCAAACGCAAGTATGTCAGGAAAACACTTCAGCGTGCACGAAGTGGGTTGTTGCATCAAATACTTTATATTTGGATTTAACATTATATTTTGGGTGAGTAGTGCATTGTTGACATTGTGTGCGAGCTGTGAGTGAACAGTTTTACATTTCGTCGCCTGTGGTTTGCATTAAACCAACATCTGGGTGTCTGACACATTGGCTTTACCTCAAAACCTAATGAGTAAATACCTAGACAGCACTGTCGAACGTTTCAAACGCGTTTATGATGGCCAAAATCTGTCGAACGTTCTAAATTCACCCCTAAATTGTGTAGAATGTTCGGACGCTCATTTAGGGCATCATCCGTTAACGTTACATTTTTTAAATGCCACGATACAAAAAAAATATATGCTAACGTTCCAAAAGTAGCTTAATTATCTTGCACAGATATCGCAGTTTGAACATTCCAAACGAGCTTATGAGCTCCAGAAATGCATTAAGAATTTTACGAATGCTCTTCTGTTACTAAGAAATAATGTTCAAACTTTCCAAACACTCTTTATGCTTTTAACAAATGCTGCTAAAATGTTAGAAATGCTGTTATCCTAAACAAAATGCGGTTTGAATGTTTCTAACATGTTTATCCGTGTTGGGCTCGTTACTCCAAAAATGTAATTTATTACTCTTTACTAGTTATTAGTAACTATATTATTACTTGTTACTTTCTGCCAACAGTAATTAGTTACACTACTAGTTACATTACTTTTAACTCATGCCCCACAGAAGTTGTAATTGTGTATCTTCCCCATAAAATTCTTCTAAAATGTTACTATCAATATATTTATTTCTGCCCTATCATTTGACAGTGGATCGCAGTCAGAAGTTATTACAAACACCTATGGTGATTGATAGTGACTTTTAAGTAAAAGTGATGTATTAATTGTCATGTGTAGCTTGAAGCTAATTGTAGTTATAATTTATCAGTTACCCATATATGATTACATTTCATGAAGTATTTTATCAAAAGAAATCACATAAGTTCATAAGATTTTTAATTGTAGTAATATAATTTATATCGGGGTCAGAGGGATGTGGGTGGGCAAGCCATGTAATGCCAGAGTAAAGTAATGCCACAACTTCCATAATTCCACAACTTACACATATGTGTTCAGAACACCATATTCCAAGCTTTCCTGATGCACTTGTGACTTCATGTGCCTGTGCGAGTCGTGAAAATTATGAAAATAAATTTAGGAATTATTTGATTGTTGGATTTCAAATCAGTAGGGGCTGAGGCATCAAAATTAACTAGTAACAAGCTGTTTTATGGATGGTAACTGTAATATTATTACTGAAATCTTATTAGTAATTAGTTACACTACTAGTTACTGCAAAAAGTAATATTATTACTGTAACTAGTTACTAGTTACTGCCCAACACTGATGTTAATGATGGCCAAAAATGATTTCTGCTGTTCCAAACATGCTGTCTGCACAGGCAGCCTACTAGGTTTTGAGACACAACCCATGTGACAGGTGTTTTTTTGCCATCAAAAAAAGCTATAAAAATGTGAATGTAACCACTAACAAAATTTCATTTATAGTGACGATCTGATGTCTAACTCTATCTGACACACAAATATACACTCTTTAGCTGCTCGGGGTGGCGTTCCTGTCCGTGGCTCTGTGGGCCTGGAGTGAGAAAGTGAGTGAAGCCCATCTTTTTACAAGCACTTCATATATGAATCTAATCAAGTGAGATCTTGTTCTCGTTAAATAGAAATCAAGTTATTATTCTCAGTTTTGTTCCCATTTGTATTTCCATCAGGGGGTTCTCTCCAACATATCCTCCATCACAGATCTGGGCGGGTTTGATCCCGTGTGGCTGTTTCTCGTGGTGGGTGGGGTGATGTTCGTGCTCGGCTTCGCAGGATGCATCGGTGCTCTGAGGGAAAACTCCTTCCTTCTTAAGTTTGTATGTCATATTTAGTCTTTACCATTGAGTTCAAGCAGAGATTTTGAACAATAGTATATATTTTGTGCACCTGCCATCTGCCATGAATATGTTATGCTCTAGATTTTACATAAAGCATGAGTGTCCATAGTGTGGTTCATGGCTTCACTGCTGATTTAAATAGTTTGTATATCACAAGATGATAAATTTGGGTACATTCGAAAAAACGGAAGTTTTGAAACTTCAGGAAGAACATAGAGTTCTACCAGGATGATTGATTTTTTGTAGGCCAAAACCTGGAAACGAGTTGACATTTGGTACTTCCGGTTCCATTGTCCCGAAGTCAGTGGGTTTTTTGAATGGATTTTTGGTTAAAAGCCTGAAATAAGGGGTGTGGTTAACACAACCTCAAGATATTTTCATAAAAACATCGGTAATACCCCACTGTTTTTTTTTTCCCCTTGTCTTGACAAAGACAGTAGTGATGGGAGAAAGGATGCTTTTCAGAGCTTCAAATCAATTGAACCAAATTGAAGCTCTCAAAACACCACAAGCTGGTGACTTTTGCTGGTCAAAATGGTGTAAATGCATTGAAAACTCAGGCCAAAGATCCATAAAAACAGCTTTTACAAATTCATTGCAAATGTGTTATTGAAACTATAATCCGTCAAACGCAATTAACTAATCAAATCAATACCACTAAATATGAAGTGTCTGTATAATGTGTGTTCTTTTATCAATTTTCAGGGCTTGTTTGTTTTATGGATGGCTCAGCTAAACATGCCAATAAAAGACAATTAACTGTTATTATTCCTATTAATTATACAAATGTCTCATTAAAACATCTACAAATTAATAAAACTGATTCGAGATCAGGTAAAAACTATAGACTTTGGTAGTTTGATACGCGCTTCGAACCAGTGATTCGAAACAAAAAGGTTTTGAAGCTTCATGAGGCAGTGCTTTAAAAAGCACCCATCACTAAAAGGCGGTTGCTAACTGAACACACTGAACAGGAAAACTCGTATATTCACTAATCCGCTTTCACAGCCTCGATCGCGCCCTTGCAAACTATATTTGACTTTCAAGTAAAACTTTTTTTTAAATCGAGGCTAAAAGAGGTGTTGGAGGCTTAATGAAGATGAAGTTAAAGTCGTGCAACCATGGTGTAGTTGGGTTATAGCATATGTTTAGCTTTTCAGCTATGCTGTATTTAGGCTTCAAAATTCATAAAAGTTGTGTTCTTTTGTGAAGATTATCATGAGGAACAAAACGTGTAAGAATCAAACTTTTATCAGGCTTTAGTTTGGCATAAGTGCCTTGAACTTATTGTCATTTCACTTGGCACACATCTTGTTATCTTTGTCTGTTGTGCATGAGAAGCGTTCTACACATAATGCAGCTTCTGTGCCCTGTTTTGCAATGTACATTAATAATAAAGGTTCCAAAAGAGAGTCTTCGCAGCCATATCATTTTGGGTGTGAAGTGGTTTTAGCTGAATTAATTGCAAAAGTTTAATACTTAATTCCTAATGCATACATTCCTGCCTTGCAAATACTGTAAATAGAATGCTTATCTCAGTAGACAAATGTGAATAGAGAGTGCAGGTGGGTAATCACGTTTCTGAATGGCTGGATATGAGTAACTACGTAGATCGGTGGGATTGACTGGTTTGAATGTGGTTTGAAAGTGTGTGAACTTCCTCTCACGCAGGTTCTGGTGGTCTGTGTTACTCCTTTTATATGAGAGAGGATGCTGTGAGAGCTTTGTGAGAATGTCAAGAGTGGTGTTGCGAAAGTATTACAAGAGGCCCGTTTCCTCTGTAGGGTAACGGAGGCTTTCTTTAAACATCTGGAATCACCAGATGAACTGTGATGTCAGTCTGGAAGTATTCATTGTGGTCACAGTGACAAATTGTTACTCACTGTACTTTGTACAAAATACAAAATTGTGTGTGCAGTTGGAGATGTACGTTGCAAAATATGTGAAAGGGAAATAAGGAGAACTGCGTCATCTCCAAAAAAATGTTAATTTCTCTGTAAATGTGTTGAGATCTGTTGGCAGGGTTAGGAATTATAAACCAGAGAAAATTCACTTAGTTTATTCTGTCGTGGGAATATAACACATTCTTGATTTATTGGAGACCCTTAAAGCTGATATTATCCATCATGAGTTGTGTAACAAGAACTCTGCTGTCCTCTCCCGCAGTTTTCCGTTTTTCTGGGAATCATATTTTTCCTGGAGTTGACAGCGGGAGTCTTGGCGTTTGTCTTTAAGGACTGGATTAAAGACCAGCTCAAGTTCTTCATCAACAACAATATTAGAGCCTACAGAGACGACATTGACCTACAGAATCTCATCGACTTCACACAAGATTATGTAAGCACACACGCATAAAACCAAACCACGGAAAGAGTTTACTTAAAGGTGCAGTTATTTTTGTGGTAATCTCAATTTAATGTGCAAACATAATTATAAAACAATAAGTAGGCACTTTCAAAATGTTGCTCTGTTTATTTTACTGGTATACAATTATAATAATAATAATATTAATAACAACAAGCTATAATTTTATATAAATTACATATTTATTATATATTTTACATGTCTATTATATATTTATATATGTATTTTTTGCATTAGTCATATTTAATAAATTATTAATTGATTTATATTAACAAATTTTAACTATATACCTGTATATTAACTATATACAACTACAGTATATTATAACTATATATACTTTTATAACAGTTAAATAAGAAAATATAAAAAGTTGGAATA